CTGAATATGTAATATGTGCTACAAAACATAATACAGTCAGAAAAATAAAATACTTCTTGTTCTTTCAGCACTTATAGTTTAACGGAAGAGGCAAACATTTAACAATTATCACAAAATTAGGGGAAAAGCATTCTCTAGGGATACACTGGAAAACAGTCTTCAGTAAGACTAGACTAGTCAGGAGGCGTGAATAATAGGGACCAGCAGATGGCACAGTGGTTACATCGCTGGACTCCCATGTGGTTGACCAGGGTTTGAGTCCCAGACCTGGAGGCTTAAAATTCAAGCTAGATGCGTGCGTGTGTGTGTGTGTGCCCAAGATCCTAAAAGGAGAATGGAGGAGAAGAGATTGCAGTGAAGCCATCCTCCCTGGGAGTTATTTTTCACTTTCTATCTCTCCCCCGAGCACACACACTCTATAGCAAAAATATCTCCCTTAAAAAAAAAAGGGAATAATAAACTGTTTGCCTGTTCTGATGAATCTTTATGGAAAATTAGGGGAATTTTTAGAGCCAATAGCAGCCAAATAAGTTCTTCTTTCTATCTACCCCTAATCTCTCTGGAAATTACCATGAAAAATATTCAAAACCTAAGTAAATCTCACTTTAATAATGTTTTAGTCATCCTTTAAACATACAATTACTCAACTATGCAGGAAGAAAAGTTTGATAGTTTTTTTTTTTCCTAAGAAAAATGATATGATACTGGATTTGAAGAAATTTCAGACTTCTTCACCAAAGCTTTACTCATTTAGAGGATTCATTTTGCTTTTCATTACTTCATTTTTTTAAACCAAGAATTATACTGTAAATAGAAAGCTATAATGTATTGCAATAGTTCTGTTACACTTTTACTCATATTTTTTGTATTTTATCCAGACACAAGTTAAGTTATATAGAAATGTATCCAAAGTAAATTTCTCACTATCCCAAACTCATCCCTGTTTATATTGTTTTTAAAACAGTTATGATCTCAAGACCTAGTCAAATCAATGACCTGTCCAAAACGAAAAAAGAGTAAAAGAAAAAGAAAGAAAGAAAGGAAGGATGGAAGAAATGGGCAAGAAAGGCTATGGTTGTCACACTCCCAAAGGAGCAAATTTGTAAAACCACCACCTAACCTTTGACATTCAAAGAGGTGGTGTTTGCTGTTGCTGTTGTGTTTTCTGTTCCCACTCAATTATGTGTTAAATGTTGCACACGACAGTACCGTGACCAGCAGAACTAAGCTATTGGCAATAGGAACAGAAATACCATCAAAAGCAGTCCACGTGTATATGTCATTAGTTACAGAATGATTGCAAAGGAAAGGGTGAAAAGGTAAAAGCCCTAGGGTTATATTTTGATTAAATCTGTGGCTTGTCAGTCAAAGCTATTTTGGTTGTTGAAAGGCTCACCTTTAAGAAGCAATTGCAATAATGAGTATATTCTTTGGCATTGTTTTTTTTTTTTTTTTCATTCTTCTTTGATCACGTAAGCTTTCTTGAACATAAAAGTAAAAGAGAGAAATAGGATTGTAGGCAATTTACTGTTTCTCTAGCAGTTGAAGGAGAGGGAGTAGAGGGCACCCTTTCAAGTAAAAGCCGTGAGGAAACCTCATTTCCTTTTAGCCATACCCCAGTCTTGCCTTTGTGTTTACATGCTGCAAATAAGTGAGTCCAGTTTTGTCAGGATTTACATCTCAAGCATTGTACTCATTGTCTCGAAAAGCAACATAATAGCACAGAATGATGCACCCAAGTTTTGCTGTGACAAAATGTTCCCTTGGAAGTGAAATTAAATTATGGCTGAATTCTCAACTAGGTTTGCACAAAATTTTTACTGAAAAGGGCCCAATTCTTGGCAATAAAAAATTGAGCATCAAACTCCTTTGTCTTTTTCTACCAAGTGGAATTTTCATAATGTTATTCACTGTAGGAATAATCATGTGTATGCAAATTAGATGTCTGTAGGAAAATACTGAACCAGTAATAGTCACTTTGACTCAACCAACATTGCCCACCTCCTGGGTGCCTCCTACTCTCCTAGGCTCTAAGATTATAAGGTAATACACCCAACCTCATGACGTTTTGGTTCAAAAGAGGATGAAAATGTGATAGGAGACAGAACCCTACGGAACAAGGGGCAGGTCAAAGGCCCAAAGATGGCAGTACAGAGTCAAGCTTGCACTGAGAGCTGCTTGCTCACATGGAATGGCTCGCAGCAGTGACTGTGGTTTCAGGGTGGCCTTTTTCATGTCCTCACTACATTCCAGAACTTAGGCCATGGGTTTGGGGCCCAAAGCTCTCAAACAAAGACTCAAGCAAACATTGCCCACTTAGATAATGGTCTCTGAGCTGAAGCCTTCAGACAAAGATTTGGGCAATCATTTACTAGAAGTGCTTTAAATGTACAGCTCCCTAACTGTACAGCCTGACAGACCTAGCCTGGAGACAAAACACGAGCAAGTCAGTCCCTCCTGGCTAGGACAATAAAACCCTGGTAAAAGCCCCAAGTTGGCAACCCACTTTCCTGGGCCCCCCTGCCTGGGCATTGCTCTCTCCTTCAGTAAACTCTGCTTTGCTCTCCCCTTTGTTCTTCTTGACCTTGAGATGAAGAGTTGGATTTGCTACGGTTCCTCATTGGATATTGGGCCTACTCTCCAATATCCCATGCCAAAAAGATTTACCAACTGTTAAGCTGAAGGGGAATGTACAAATAAAATGTGTATTTCTGACGAGAAATTTGAAAAGACTTCTCGTTCATTTGGAAGGTACCTGTGAACAGTGGTGGTGGTACTCTTGTGATGTGGCTGTTCCACGGGCCGGGGCTGCAGTGGCTAAGAGCTGGGCTCTTTGCTGAGGCAGGGCTTTTGCTAACTGGCTAAGAAAACTGAGGAGCCTGGAGGAACCAGTGGGTAAGCAGGAGGGACAAAGGATCAGAAGTCTCTAGGTAAGGGTCCAATCATTGCTGAGAAAGACGAGTTAGGCCTGGGAATGATTGAGTCAGGATTCTTTCTGACAATAAGTGACAGAATAAAATTTAAACTCAGTCAGGAATGATAATGTATTGGCTTGAACAGGGCAGGGCACATCTGAGAAGCACAGGTGAGGCTAGGCCATAGGCCTTTCGTGGGGTTATTATTTACTTTCTTCTTGGCTCTGCCCTTCCCTGAGTTGGTTTCTTTCACAGTGGCAACATGGGCCCCCACATTCTACATTTATATTCTGTCAATTTAACAATCCAAGGAAAGAGAGACTTGTCTTTCTCCAAAGTATGTGCAGTTGAAACACTGATAAGTCAAAACTTTACCTAAGGCACATCCACCTACACCCACCCGAATCTACCTTTGTGTCTCTGTAAACATCGTATTCAGCTGCTAGAAGGACCACGATTGGAAGAAATCAGAAGTTTATTTCTCCCTCACATGAAAGAATTAACATCATGTAGTTCAGGACTATTATGCCAACTCCATAGTGCAGGCGGCGTTAGAATAGAAAGAAAGGTTTTCCACTGCCATTATTTACTGTTGATAAAGTTGGATACATGACACACCCTACAGAGTGACCTTTGGCTGCCCAATGGCAGACAGTGCATTGTTGGGTAGAAAAGACAGACTTAGCAGCTTGCCTGGGAAAGACGCACTGCCTGCTTCTGGTACTCAGGAGTGGCTGGCATTTCCGGATCCACGATGCCAAGGCCACTGTGAGGGGTGGGGAAGAACCCCTGGCTGAGCGAGGACCCCACCCATTTGGCCTCCTGGCCCGCTCCACCAGAAGATCGGAGCCATGGACTGGCTCCTGACACTCTCCTGGATGACAACGCTGCAAAGGCTGTGATAATGAAAGATAGAGACCCGAGGAAGAGTAAGGGGTGCGTTCACATTGATTTTAGCTGAAGACGCCGTGCAAATCTGCAGCGAGCACCAAGGCAGGAGCGGCAGTTATTCGGTAGAGCAATAAATGCAAGCTTTGCTCCGGACCGTGGCAGGGCCACCAAGTTCATCTGAAGGCGAAACTATCGTACCTTGACAAATCTAAGAGTGCCGAATACAGGGGGAGTGGACACTTACGTTATGGCTGTCCTAAAAATATGCTTGGAGAACGTGAACCTCCAAAGAAGAGAGAAAAAAAGAAAACTCCTGGGCCAGAGGCAGAAATTGAGGGATAACGAGAAAGTGAGGGAGAAGGGAAGGTCCTGCCCTGTCGGCCTCAGTCAGGCCAGGGCAGTCAGCAAGCACCCGGGAGGGCAGGGCAAAGGGCAGCCAGTTCAGGGAGTCCCTCAGCATCCGACGATTCCAGACGCCCAGGGTGAAGAGAAACACACATTTCAGTGATGAAAAAGATCCTTCTGTGCCAATGGGGCCAGGGGGCAGAGCCTGCTCCCGGGGCAGTTCCTTTCTGTCCCCATCACAGGGGGCAGGTGGCCGTCTCCTAGGAGGTTCAGAGGGTTCAGAGCCAGGTGGACCCTCACCAGGAACTGCATGCAGACAGAGGTCCAGAGCCGGGCCCTCTCCGGCCAGCCCACCGACCTGGCCCCTCAATCCAGTTTGGCACTAGCGACAAGGGCTCAGACTTGTGCTAGTAGTAGGAGACAGTTTAAAAGCAGAGAAGGAGCTGACAGCATCAGTCGCTGAGGCCATTCCTGCGTCCCGAGACTGGGAGCTGTTCCCCAGTACTTCTGCCTCAGCGGAGCCACAGTCCAAGAACCTGAGTTCTGGGCACGATGGCCCGGAGCCTAGCTCTTCTGGCCAATGCTGTACCCCGAGGTCTTCTATGGCAGCCCTGGACCTCCCCGTTCTCAGGTCTCTGGGGGAGCCGTGGACTCTCAGTTACATCCTAATAATGGAAGCTTCTGCCCCAGGACACCCTCCTTGCACCCTTATAGGTCGGTCACAGCCCTTGTACCTACCCCCAGGCCCAGCCCCTCCCACAGCAGTGCGCTCTGGGGTAGCTCTCAAGGGCCAGTTTCTGGATTTCTCAGCACAGCAAGCGACAGAACTGGGGCAGCTGCCAGCTGGAGTTCTCTACCCTCCGCCTTCCTTTCTGTACTCTCCAGCTTTCTGCCCCAGCCCTTTGCCTGACCCACCTTTGCTTCAGGTTCGCCAGGATCTGCCATCTTCAGATTTTTGTTCTACTCCTCTGCAGCCTGGTGGCCAAAGTGGTTTTCTCCCTTCAGGGGCCCCTGCCCAGTAGATGCTTCTACCCATGGTAGATTCACAGCGGCCTGTGGTGAGCTTTGGCTCCCTGCCACCGGCACCACCTCCTGCCCCACCCCCTTTTTCTCTGTTACCCAAGGGCCCTGTGCTGCTGCCCCCCAGCCTGGCTGTGCGACCCCCACCTGCCCCTGGTACTCGGGTGCTGCCTTCACCTGCCAGGCCTTTCCCCCCTAGCTTGGGGCGAGCAGAGCTACATCCAGTGGAACTAAAGCCATTCCAGGATTATCGAAAACTGAGCAGCAACCTGGGGGGACCTGGGTCGTCATGTACTCCCCAAGCTGGAAGGTCTTTCTCTGGCCTCAATTCCCGTCTCAAGGCCCCACCTTCAACCTACAGTGGAGTCTTCCGCACCCAGCGCATTAACCCCTACCAGCAGGCTTTTCCACCAGATGCCCTGCACTGGATGCCGAAACCTTGGGAGCAGACAGGGCCACCTTCTAGAGAGAGGCCTTCCCGACCGGCAGAGGAGCCTGGGTCCCGTGGGGACAAGGAGCCTGGGTCGCCCCCACCTCGTTGAGGCGGTTCCCCTTGCCCCCCACCCCCGGGGTTTGTATATAGATTATAAATAGATAAGGGGAAGGGGTGGGTGAGGAGGGTTTGTGGGGCTGGAGCTTCACTTACTCTCCTCCTCTTTTCCCTGATCCCCATCCCTAGGGCCGTTTGTTAAAAAACAGTAATAAAAGGATTTTTAAAAATTTTCCAAAATGAAAAAAAAAAGAACTCAGTGACAAAGATTCTTTTATCATGTAAATATTATTAAAGTAAAATTCAGTTGGGGACTAAAGATTGCTTTAGAATTTGAGCATAAAAAGGTGGTGTGGTGGTGGGAGGTGGGGGGTGCTGGATCCCACCTAGTTAACTGTGTGCTTTTTGAGTCCTACCCCCATCCCTAGGGCCGTTTTTTAAAAACAGTAATAAAAGGATTTTTAAAAATTTTCCAAAATGAAAAAAAAAAAAGAACTCAGTGACAAAGATTCTTTTATCATGTAAATATTATTAAAGTAAAATTCAGTTGGGGACTAAAGATTGCTTTAGAATTTGAGCATAAAAAGGTGGTGTGGTGGTGGGAGGTGGGGGGTGCTGGATCCCACCTAGTTAACTGTGTGCTTTTTGAGTCCTAGACCCTGAGGCTTGAAGGATGTGGGGTGCACTGTGTGCATGCCTGAACTGAGCGGGGATTGCAGGGGAAGGGATGTGGGCGCATGTGTGTGCATGCCTGAACTGAGCGGGGACTGCAGGGGAAGGGATGGCTGTGTGGCCATCACCCTGGGGGTGCTTTCTCAATTGCTTTCTCTGTCTTTGTTTCTCTGTGTGTCAAACATATGTGCCCCATAGCAAAAATTTAAAAAATTTAAAAAACAATCTGAGCATAAGAGCATTTAATACCAAATAGTATTTTATTATAAAATAGTTCATCGGAAATATAAAAAGGACTTTATAGCATCATGTTTCTACCTCGCCTTAGCACACATCAACAATGAAGACTTGCTAGTAACAATCTTGAAAAAAGCCAATTCTAATAAAAATAAGAAAACTTATTACTATCATTGTAATGCTATTGTTACCAGAAGAAAAAAGATAAATATTAAAAATTTATTTGAGAAGTGCATTATAAAAGCTTTATTTATGCCTGGTTTATAGGAAAACTTTTTAAATAAGTTTAATATGTAAAACAAAAGCTAAAAATATATAAAGAGAGCAATAAATTTCTTTCCAATATGATAGCCCTACACAGTTGTAAAATCTTATTATGTTAAGCATATCACTTTCTATAGACTAATCATAAGTGATGTGAATAATACTAATAGAAAAATGGTCACATTTTATTTAAATAAATTTATTTTTAAAATTTTTATGAGAGGGAACCAGCAGTTAGCGTAATGGCTATGTCGCTGGACTCCCACGTGGTCGACCGCAGTTCGTGTCCCGGACCTGGTGGCTTTAAACTCACCCCGGGCGCGTGTGCGTGCGTGCCCAAGATCCCGAGAGGAGAATGGAGGAGAAGGGATTGCGGCGTGACCATCCCCCCTGGGGGGTGA